CAGAGGCAAGCCCTGCGCCTTGACTGTCGGTGCCATCTTCATCTGAGGGCGCTATTTCTTCGGGTGCAGGTGGAGCGAAGTCACTGTCGCCGCCCCTGTCCTCCTGCACCGCAGACCGTGGTTGAGATGGCCCAGGTTCCTCTTCGTCCCTCCCTTCATCGAGAGACAAGTCTGTGTATCTTTGACGCGTCTTACGAGGTCGCAGCTCGCGCGGCATGGAGGGTGCAAATCATGAATATATGCATGGATGTATTACCATTTTTCGTGCCAACGGCCCCGGTCCGATCGAGCCGTAACCCAATTACCACAAAGTAACGCAAAGAAAAATTATAAAAAGAAAAGGGACATGAAAGCACATTGTATATACGTATGACATATGCGACAGAACAGACGCATCTATAACATCCCGAATTATTCAAAAAATGTCTGATCCAGGGAACAACGCCGACCCCGCCATGCCCTCCTCTTCGTCCTCGCTGTGCTTGCCAGTCGAAGCAGAGAGGGAGGACTCAACATCGTACCCCCCTTGGACCACCGCATCGTTTGCGCGGCGCACGTCCGCTGGCTCAGGCTCCGGGTCCAGATCAGGCAAGAATGGGTCCATCTCGCTGCTCTCTTGTCGCCGTAGCGTGTGCGCCGTACGTTGCCGTCCTGACTCTTGCAGTTGCAGTTCCGGAGGAGATAAGGGCAGACGTGCCTGCGTCGGACGGGGATGGCGCAGTCCGGCTTCTAGGTCGGCATGGAAGGCAGTCGGGCTGAGTTCAGGCGACGATTCCGGAGAGACAATGCCTTCGACGCGCTGCGAGATTGGTTGTGGTGCGTGAGGCGCCGGTGGAGGTGCGGGCTGCGGACGATGTACGCGCGCCTGTTGCTGTGATTGTTGGTGACGTCGTGAATTGTATTCAAACTATAGAAAATGCGATGGTGAGCAGTGCACAGAAGAGGAAAGTGGATGAACAGTTGCGTACCAGCTCGAACACCTCGGTACGACGCCGGTCTCCAGTTTCCTTATCGATACAGTAACACAAATACAATGTATCCGCGCTGATTGAACTCTTATAAAAACGAAAAATAACCAAAGACGACGGGAGTCACGTACGTGTCAGAGACAAGTCCCACACAAAACAAGCCAACCAGTGCAGTGACAGTACCGGCGAGAAGTGCGGCTCCAAGCGCCTGATCTGGGGCCCCAAGTGTATGCGCGACGAACAAGTACGTGATCAACGAGAACGGTAGCGTCAGGCTCAGCGGTGCGATCTTCAGTAGTGTCAACGGGACTGAATAACACGGTCAGGTACGACGATCCCTAGAGGCAAGAAATACGAAACGCACCCTCTGACTTATGATTCTTCTTGAACCGACCCGCGCCGCTCTCCGCACTCGCCACGAGGGCCCTCGCGCGACGTGCGCTTACCCAAAACCCTTCACCTGTGATGCCAACGTATATAAGAGCGTACTTGCTCAAACTACCCGCTGCGTCCTCGAGGTAGCCCGCCGCAAAGAGTAAAGGTCCAGTATACATGCGAAGTGCGATGGGAAGATACACTGGCACACGCCGGAGGAAGACGGTGAACAGGAGAAGCACGCGCGTGAGGGTGAGGAGGAGGCCCGCGAGCGCGATACTCCCGAGAGAGGGCTGGGATGCCCTATAGAGCGAAGCGTGTATCCTGTGCGTGTCCATCGGAGGTGGTGGAGAGGCATCGGGACTAAAACCATGCGATAATCGCTCGTTAGAGCCGATGCCGTAAAGGGAGTGTGGCAGCCGAACTTACTTGGCAAAGTACCAGGCGGCGATAACGCCAGTCGTTGTTACGCGTAACAAACCGCGTGCGACAGCCCAGGTCCACAACCACATCGAGAGAGTTCCACCAATCGCCCAGTTTGCCCATCCGCGTAGGTGCCACTCAACTCCCGAACTCGGAAGCGCAGGCGTGTATCCGACGAGGAGCAAACGGAAAATAAGTGTCGCAAAGGGGATGGACAAGAGGAGGGTAGCGAGTAGAACTGTGGGCGACAGAAGGAGTAACAGGGGATGTGAAGTGAGGAGTCGGGTTGTAAGTGTGAGCACGGCAGAGGTCGTATGAATCTTCTGCGGTAATGTCAAGAGGCGCCGACCTGTGATAAGCGCTAGCGCGAGGGGCACAAGCGAGAAAAGACGCAAGCTAAAGGCGAGGATGTCAGTGACTCGCTCGCGGGAGAAGAAGCGCTGATCTAGAGGCTTACCCCCAGGTTTCACCCCAGGTGGGTACCGTGTCAGCCATCCCACATGAAACTCCCTGTAAATGCCCAAATGGAGGAAATCAACAGGGTTGCGGGGACAAAGACGCTCGTGCCAACGACGACGGGCTTGACAAATACCCGCAAGAGGAGGATATGGGCATATGATACCGCGGCGCTAGTAAACGTCAATATGACAAGAAGGGGCACTGTATGAAGGAATGTAGTATAGGGAAAAATGCGTGGAGTCGTGGATGGTTTGTGAGTGAGGAAGAGGGCAAGAAATGAGGAAAAGACGCATATCGACAACCCTGTCAACCAAACAGATGTCCAAACTGGATCGTGGAACTTTCGACGGGAACGAGCGGACATATGACGCGGGTCAGGGAGGGAAAAGAGGTCAATCGGGCGGGTTTGGCCATCACGAGGAAGTAAGGACTGGGTGAGAGATAATGAAAGTGGAGGGGGGGGAGGGGGCGGAGACGGTGTGAACGCGGCGCGTGCATTGTGAGGTGGTAATGGGGAGCCCTCATCGAGTTCGGAAGAGGAAGGAGACGGTGATCTGAGTTGTGTGGGTTGATGTGCGAGCCAGCCCCTGCTCTGTTCTGAAGGTGCGTGTGAAGATCCAAGGAGGCGAGCGGAGGCGGCTGGGTACTGGGAACCTGGATCCACCTCATCTAGACGAAGATAGGGATCATCTCCGTCATCGGGGACGTCCCTACGGGTATTTGCCATGGTGGTAAGCCCGGACGTATTCCCACTCGTGCGGAGGTGAGGGTCGCCCCCATCATCGAGATCAGAATTGTTCCCTCTATGCGCGTGACCTGAACTGTGCGGGGAGCCGTCGTCGGTTGAGAAAGAAAAAAAGAGGGGTTGTTCTGATGTTAATGAAGTAGCACCACCGGGACTCCTTTGACGATTGAGGAACTGCGACGCGTAAGCAGCAAACGAGGATGTCATGGAGGTAGAGGTATGGAAGATATTGGGTGCGTGCGGTCTTAATGGTGCATGGAATCGAGACCAAGAGCCAAATATGTGAACGTAGACGGTGACGCAGGCAGACAAACTGGGCGGGTCGAGTCGACACTCCGGTTTACGCAACTCCGTGAGAATGTTTTTCTCAATTCGTATAAAATACACAGCTATATCGTTGAAAATGGTCGTCTGGCCTATTAAGCTTCCGTCTTTTTGACTCCCATAAACAATGAGGGTGTGGCGAAGACGGGGATAAAATATTACTCTCACTGAATAGAGTACCGCAGTCTGCTTCTGTATCTCCGTCAACCATCTCGAGGATGCACGTGCGATGGGATTCTGGAGACCCCGCGTCAAGCCCCGCATCGGTAAATCATCCATTTATGAAAGCGCAGTGATGGGTACCTCTGACCACGTGTACGCCCTCACTTTCTCGTATAGTGACTTGTAATTGCACCTACGGGTTGATACAAGTTCTTATGCAGATCGTTATTCAATCACAAGAAATCTGATGCTCCGAATGTCCCGTAGCATTGTTACCCTTGGATAGCCGAAGTGATTCGGAGAATCTCTGTGCAGCAAGCCCCCTCATGCGAACTAGGTAACAAGAAATTCTGAATAATAATCGAATCGAACAAGGAATCGAGACCCCGCCAGGCTTGTTCGGAGCTTCAGATCTTCAACCTGGAGGACCACCAACAGAAGAACGGTGTTACTCGCTGGTCATGCCTTCACCCGGATTCGACTCGGGCTGATTCCTATACCTGGCATTCAAAAGGGGCGATTCCGGAATTTCGGAAAAGTGACACACTCGTAGCGGGTTCGGTATCTTGTCAACCAAAAAGACTGACCGACCAGACAGATTTTATCGTATCCATGTCGTGAATAGATCTAGGCCAATTTTTTTTCCCCGCGGATTTGTGCGCATGTAACACGACAAAGAGGTGGACACGCTATTGTAAGTGCAGTATGTATGACTTAGAAATGTGGCACTGACTTGCATTGGCTGCGTAGCGGCATGTGGGGTGTCTTAGCACGACCCTTGGTCCTAATTTTGGTATTGACTACGACACGTGTTTATGAATCCGTAGCCCTTGATGTGCCTCGTTGAGCAACGTGCACTACGCCACTGTAGTCAATGGGGCCTCGTTTGACAAGTTTCTAGTCTACTGCGGCGTTCCCATCTGCTTCCGGCTTTTGTGTAGGCCCACTTTACGAATGCATTCAGTCTTCTTAGCATCCCTGCTGGGGCATTACCTCCTAGCCAGTGGGCTCATCCGTAGAAAAATTCTCTGCAAGATAGAGTAGCTCATTCACGGGCCACGGAACTCCCATTTGGATCTCGCTGGCATATTGTTTTTTCATGGCGTCTGACAGGCCGTCTACTAAATCAATGTAAAGCTTATTTGAAGCGTACCAGTCGTGTTCGTTCAATCACGTAGGAGAAGTAGTGGGCACCCTCCTGACATATGTCAGGACAACAAATGTTTTCTTGACTTCGTAGCCCTAGCCTATGCTGTGGGGGTGGCCAATTGTGTAGTAATCCAGTCCAGTGTAATCGCCCTCCTCTGCTTTTGCTCAAATAATTTGGGATGCGATTACTGCTTGCAATTACACCTCCAAAGTACCTAAGGTGTCTTTGACGAATTTGCCGTGAATCCCGCGGATGTGAGGCTCCATTAGTCAATGTTTGAAAACAATTTACGATCGTGCCGACGAACAATCGCCATGTGGGAGAAAGATCGGGAAGACATGCGAAACGAAAGAGGGAGTGGAGCACTTTGTGTACGTGTGAGAAAAAAAAAACGTGGACGAAGTGGGGTTTGAACCCACGACCTCATGCAACGGGGCTCACAATGTGAAACATCGTGAACTTGCGAAGCAAGCGCGCTACCACTGTGCCATCCGCCCGTTGGTGGTTCTCGTTGAGGTAAAAAATACGTATGGGCGCTCGTGGGATAGCTCCCGGACAGCATGCATCACTGACCACTTCACTTCACATCGCTCCTCTCTACAGCGGCCACAGATGCGACTCAGCAAATCGACCCTGAGCAATTTTGAGGACGTGTTCCATCAAGTTTTTGCATCCATATCTTTCTCCGTCACGACAAGCAATTCTTCTAGGCTAATCTTCCTAGTCTCGCTCTGTTTCACAGCGCTCATCGTTTCGTTGCTTCTTTTCCGGGGCTTCGTTCGCAACCCTAGCTTCTCTGCAACGCCTCCAGACTTCTCAGTCCTTCAGAGGATTCTGGTGCCTACTTCCTCTCGCTGGGGTCTTTCCTCAAGCCAGTTGGTAGCCCGGTCTCGGGTCTCATCTCACCGAACCATTTGGCTTTCCCTGGATGCTCTTGTTCACTGTATAATATCAGGAGACGTCGAGCTCCGTCACCCACCACGGGACCTCCCCGACCTCCTGCGTTCGAGTGTACTTGTTGACGGGTCGGATGTACGCTTGTATGTGCATTTATTCCATCGGTTCCACGCTATCCTATGGACCATCCTCGCAAGGTTCTTCGATGTAAGTTACGGGAGGGTCTGTTGTAGCGAATGCTGATGCCTTGAAAGCCTGGGATGCCATTAGGTAGTTATATGCGCATGGTTTCACAATATCCACAGGACTACACACATTTTTGTAGCCAATGCGCAATCTGCGTATGGTCGTAGCCTCGACTTCTTCGATCTTGATTTTGTCCCCCACCGGAAGCTGAAGATCGTCATTCGTCACCTCACGTCCTCAGTTAGGCAGGGCGTCCCTACCTCGCTCCTTCTCACAACAAAAGCACAAGGGTTGTCGATGTTTGATCCACGCTTCACGATTACTGCACTTTTCTTTCGACCCCCCAGGACCACGTTGCCTTTCACAACCTCACTCTCGACCGTTTTAACCTTACTTGGCACGCACGGCGGCGATATCTCCGTTCTTAGCGTTGACAATATCTCCGTACGATACGCCGAGTCACTTTTTGGCGCTGCCAATACCCTTTGCAACGATAGTGATATCCGCGGAAAGTTTATTTCGCGGAACAGTTTAGTGGGATGGCGTAGAGAATGCTTACACGGTGTTTGGGAGGCGGCGTTGTTGAAGGCAGGGTTGTTGGTGAAATGGAAGATTACTTTTAGGAAGAATTAGCAGGTGGTTGTGTAACCAGTCATACGCAGTCACTATTTGCCCCTTTTGGTCAACTTAAGCCCGCTAACACGCACTCCCTTACGTTCGTCGTCCCTCCTTCGGCGTCATGTCCTCCCCACCGAATAGTCGTCGTCTTTCGCGCTCGACAACCCAGTCCATCTACGCCCCCACCGCCAGTTCTCGCCCTTTCCTCAACATGCTCAACCCACTGGGCCGCGCGTACCAGGGCTACACAGCCGCCAACCAGTCTGTCCTCGAGGAGGATGAAGAGGACAACGACGGCGTTGCATCACCCAGGAACGACGACATCGACTTGGAGGCGCAGGCCCACCTCACCCCAACAACCAAGACCTCCGTTTCCGCGCACCGCACATCACGAGGTGGCACAGAGGCAAGCATCCTCCGACCGAACGTCCGCGAAGACGATCACGTTCAAGAGGAATCAGAATCAGACGGAGAGGTCCCGCAGAGCTTCCTGATCGAGTCCCCCGCTGTTCGCCGCGCACCCCTATCACGCAAAGGCCGACCACGCGAGGTGCGTTACGCCTCACAGACCGCTGCGCCCACCGACCCTCCACGGATATCTGTTCCACCACGCCCATCGGAGATCGGTGCAGAACTCCCGCCGCCCCGCCGCTCATCCGCGCCCACGCCGCCTAATCCGAAGCGCGGGCTGGATGCGTACGAACGCGCGTTGTGGAACTGGGTGAACGTGTACAACCTCGACGCATTCCTCCAGGAGGTCTACCTCTATTACCACGGAAAGGGGATATTTTCCATCGCCCTCAAGCGGGGGTTGAACCTTCTGTAGGTGTTCCTTTGCGAGTCAGAGAGGTTCGCTAATGGCGAGCACAGCACAATCGGGTTTGTCATTGGCTTCTCGGCATTCTTGCTCCGCTGCGTCGATTATTCGCGCGTCCGCTCTGACCAGGTCACACGACTATCCGATATCGTTGTCGAGCGCTGCGTCTCTCGGTATGTTCTCCCCTACCTATCTGTATTACTCGATTATATTTCTTTTCCCGCAGATTCTCGGGATTTACACTGCTGTGCTTCCTCCTGTTCTGTGCTTTCTATGTGTGGCAGATCGCCTTGTTTGTCTTGAGCGTTATGCGGCTCGTGGACATGTACCGTTTCTATACCTACCTCCTTCAGATACCAGACGTGCGCGTTTCATCTATATACCTTCGTTCGTCTCCCAACATCCCCGTAGGAAGACATCCAGACTATATCGTGGCCCGAAGTCGTTCGCCGTATCGGAGCCATCCGCAACTCCAATCCGCTCACGGAGCTATCCTCGTCATCCTCGCGACCCCGCGCTAGCGAAGGTGCTAAACTAGACGCGCATGACATCGCCAACCGTATCATGCGGCAAGAAAACTTCCTCATCTCGCTTTTCAACAAAGAGTTACTCGATTTGCGCGTACCCCTCCCAAATGGGTGGCCCACTGAAGAGGGCAAGGGTCGCACGCTCACGCGTTCCCTCGAATGGAATCTACAATTCTGCCTGATGGAATACCTTTTTGACAGGAGAGGCCAAGTGAGGAAGGTGTTTCTGAAGAGCAAAAACCGAGCAGCGTTAATAGATGGGTGCATACAGCGCAACGGACTTTTGACATTCCCCAGCTTACACGCGTGTACAGGCTCAGACGGCGTTTAATCTTTATGGGTATCTTGAATGCGATTTTCGCGCCGTTCATCGTGGTCTACCTGCTTATGTATTCGTTCTTCCGGTATTTCGAGGTGCGAGTTTCTCCCGTCTTTGTGAGGCGATATTAACCACAAATGTAGGAGTCGTACAAGAACCCGTCTGCGATCAGCGGCCGCGCATACACACCCTTCGCCCATTGGAAGTTCCGCGAATTCAACGAACTACCACACCTCTTCGAACGACGTCTCAAGGAATCATATCCTATCGCCAACATGTACATGGGTCAGTTCCCCAACGAAAAGCTGGCAATCTGCATGAAGTCAGTTCTTACTATAAGCACCCAATGCGTTAATTTGACACGATTGTCAGGTTCCTGGCCTTTATAGCTGGATCCTTTGCTGCCGTCCTCTTACTCGCCACCGTCATTGAACCCGAACTCTTTATCCATCTTGAGATCACCCCCCATCGAACGGTCCTTTTCTATCTTTCTGTCTTTGGTGGTATTCTCGCCGTCGCGCGCGGCATGATCCCAGAAGAGAACAGAGTATTCGATTCGGAGGTCCTTATGGAGGCGCTCGTTCAGTACACCCACTACCTTCCCGATGAGTGGCGCGCACAGCTCCACGCAAAGACAGTGCACACCCAATTTGGCGAGCTGTTCCAGATGAAGGTGGTCACGTTCGTGACGGAGCTCGCCAGCGTCGTACTGACGCCGTTCATTCTCTGGTTCGCGCTACCTCCGTGCGCGCCCGCGATCGTCGACTTTTTCCGCGAGTTTACCGTCCACGTCGATGGGCTTGGGTACGTTTGCAGTTTTGCGGTGTTTGATTTCCAGCGACATGGCAATGTCAAGGTGCGTCGTTCTTCCCCGGTCCAGACTTACAATGAACTCTCAAACACTTAGTTCGGCGCGCCAACGAATGTGTCCGATGCCCGGCTGATGTCCAACGACGGAAAGATGGAAAAGTCCTTCGTCTCATTCAAAGCCGCGCACCCAGAGTGGATGCCCACAGACCCAACAGGCTCGCTCTACCTCACGCGCATCGCAGACCTCTCCGCGCGCCGCGCTGCGGACGACCACACCCCTCGCCCGAGCGCCGCAGGCATCGTCATTCCCCCCGCGGACCGTGCGCGGGAGTACGAGCGCGCGCTACAGGAGTCGCGGAGCGCGGCGGTGCGACGGCGCGGCGGGTCTGGGTTTGGCGCGGCGTCGACGATGCTCGGGCAGTCGGCGACGATGGCGACGTCCGTGTACCAGTCGGGCATGGCGCAGAGCGTCGCGCTCGGTGACTCGGACGGCTCCGTCGCGCAGCACGCGCAGCTGCAGGCACCCTCTCAAGGCGCCAACGCACCGCGCGGGCACATGTCGATACCGAGTGGCAGCGGCGAGCTCGCGGCGGACTCGGAGGGCGACGTGCGTAGTGCGCTGGGAGAATCGTATGTTGATGGCGCGAGGAGGCACGCGCGCGGAGGGGTTGCGCGGTCGATGCAGGAAGAGGAGGACGATGGGCTGGGGGCGGACGGAGGCGTACTTGGGCTACTGGCACAGATCTATAACGGGACTGCGGGTGGGGGGCCGCGTGGCGTGCTACTACAACAGCGCTGATGTAATCCACTTCGCACAACATAACTCGCAATTTGCTAGTATGCGTTCACTAGAGCAGGTATATAGTAATGTAGCGACAGCAACCACCAGGGCGTACAATAGTAACTCTGTAATTCGCGCAACTAATTCATCAGCGGAGAATCGGGCGGGAAGGTGCCCGCCGAGGCGTGCGTCCGTTCGCGCCTGAGCCAGCACCAGCACGACCGAGCACTTGCGCGCGGCGCAGCTCTTCGTCTATCCTCGTCATCCCCTGCGCAAACGCATCGCGATCGATCGAGCCCAAGCCTTCGGGGTCGCACTCGTTCCTGAAAACTTCTTCAGCACTTCCGTTTTCGGTACAAAGGAAATAAAAGGGAATTCACCAGATGTCCCGCAGGCGCTGCGGCTCGAGGCCCGACTTGAGCCATATCTTGCGCACGAGGCGTCCATCCATGCGGGCATCGGGCCCTGGTTCCACTGCGGGCGCAGGGTGCGCGCTCTGGTCGAGGTCGATGGACAGCCCGCGCCAGCCAGCGTTCTGCCGC